GAATTAAAGAGAGACTGTAGGAAAAAGGAACGAAAATGGGAGAAGACAGGTTTACATGTATTTTATGAAATTTGGAAAGAATCAGTGATGAAATTTCAGGAAACAGTTAAAGAAGCAAGAGCATCATTTTTCTCTAATTTAATTTTAGTAAATCAATCCAACCCCAGAATTTTATTTAAAGTAATAGACTCAGTCACCACCCCCTCCCCCTGTCATTTTACTGATGCCTCTCATGAGATGTGCGAAGATTTTTTAAATTTTTTTACCAACAAAATTAAGGTTGTAAGACAACAAATCACCCCCCCAGACCGCGTTTTACATGCCAGTAGGGACATATACAGTTATTTTAGTAATTTTGAACCAGTTTCACTACCGTTTTTATCCGAAATCTTAACCCGCATGAAACCAGCTACCTGCAGTCTTGATGTCATTCCAACAAAATTTCTTAAAGAGGTTATTGACACAGTTGGACCGAGTATTTTATTGATTATTAATAGCTCATTAACAAAAGGCATTTTTCCATCTTCTTTTAAACATGCTGTGGTCCAACCTCTTTTAAAGAAACCCAGCCTTGATCCTTCTGATTTTAACAATTTTAGGCCAATTTCTAAACTCCCGTTTTTATCAAAAATTTTAGAAAAAGTGGTTTCAACCCAGCTTTTAGCTTTTATGTGTCATAACAATCTCTTTGAAAGATTTCAATCAGGTTTTAGAGCCCTACACAGTACAGAAACTGCCCTCCTCAAAGTAACCAATGATCTTCTTTTAGCTGCGGACAGGGGAGAGAGCGCAATTTTAATCCTTTTAGACCTAAGTGCAGCCTTCGACACGGTTGATCATGCCATTTTAATTGACCGTATGGAAACCTGGGTTGGCATCAAGGACACTGCACTTAGCTGGTTTTATTCCTACCTTTTAGATAGAACTTTTGCGGTCACCATAGGTAATTACACATCCTCGAAATCTCAGATTACCTGTGGTGTACCGCAAGGCTCAATTTTAGGTCCAATTTTATTTTCTATTTATATGCTTCCGCTCGGTCAGATCATCCGCCGCCACAACGTGTCTTTCCATTGCTATGTGGACGACACACAGATATACCTCCCGCTGAGACCGGATGACCCGAGAAGCCTAGCTGCTGTGTTAGATTGTCTCAAGGATATCAACTGTTGGATGGCCCAAAACTTTCTTCAACTCAATACCTCCAAATCCGAAATCATACTGTTCACTCCGCCAACCTCCACCAGTCCAATTGAAAATAGCCTTGGTCCCCTGTCCGTTAACGTCAAATCCGCAGCCAGAAACTTAGGAGTAATATTCGATTCAGACCTCAACTTCCAGCCTCATATCAATAAAGTTGTCCAGTCCTGCTTCCATCAGTTAAGAACAATCTCCAAAATCAAACCCATGCTCCCACATTCTGACTTAGAAAAAATAATCCACGCATTCATCTTCTCCAGACTCGATTACTGTAACTCACTCCTCTCTGGCATAAACCATAAATCACTCTCCCGCCTCCAACTGGTTCAGAACGCAGCAGCTAGGCTTCTTACTGGTTTTAACAGACGACATCACATCACCCCAATCCTGGCTTCCCTCCATTGGCTCCCTGTGCGTTTTAGAATTGATTTTAAGATTTTACTGATCACTTTTAAAGCCCGTCTGGGTCTGGCCCCAAGTTACATATCAGAAATGTTGACCCCATATGAGCCAGTACGCAGCCTAAGATCCTCAGGCGGGGCCCTCCTGGCCGTTCCAAAGTCGAGACTTAAAACTAGAGGCGACCGCGCTTTTTCCACCAGGGCCCCTCGACTTTGGAACGACCTGCCTGAGGAGATAAAGCTTGCAGAATCGGTAACATCTTTTAAATCTCTTCTTAAAACCCATTTTTATAGACTTGCCTTCATGTGATGTCGTCTTTTTATCTTTTTATTTATTCTTTTTGTTTACTCTTTTTATTTATTTCATTCTATTCCTTTTAATTGTTTATTCTTTGTTATGCTATTGTCATTATGCAATGTTGTCTTTTTATCCTTCTATTCGTTTGTTTCTAGTATTTACAAATAATAGTTTTATTGCCTTTTTTGTTCTTATCTCTTTTAACATTCTGTCTTTTCATTCTGTCTGTGTTTTGCTTAGTTTACTTCAATTTGAGCTTAATTTTGTCCTGCTTTTGCTTGCCCACACTGTTTTGACTCTCTTGCTATAGATATTCCTGCGTTTGCTTTGTTTGTCAAAGCACTTTGTAAACTCTTGTTTTTAAAGGTGCTATATAAATAAAGTTATTATTATTATTATTATTATTAAAAACATGATTTTTTTTTTTAGAGTTAATATTTCCCTGAGATGTGGTGGAGCAGAAGTATAAAGTAGCAGAAAATGAAAATACTCAAATACAAGTACCTCAAAACTGTATTTTAGTGCAGTTCTTGAGTAAATGTACTTAGTTACAATCTGCCACTGTTACATAAATACAACTTTAGTCATAAATGTTAAACAATAGCAGTTGTATTCCGTAAAATTAAACACTAAAAATGTGTCATATTTTCACAGTTCATCTGGAAATCAACGACAGTTTTTGAGGCACGCATTAAATTTTTGCAGTGATTAATTTGTGAACTCTGAATGTAAATAAGGTGTTCTTGTTTATCAAAATATTTTCCTGCAGGAGGACCCCCCCTGGACCCTCCCTACAGAGCCCTGACCGTCCTCAAATCCAGGAGACGCCCCTGGGAGCAGCCAGAATTACAACTGTGCCCGCCTTTCTCCTCATCCTTTTTCCTCCACTGCTTTATTAATGAACTGTGATCTCTGACTTCAGTGGCGTCCATGTTTCCTCCTGTACAAGTCTTTCTTATTGTTCCTCTATGCATATGGGTCGGTTCAGGACCAGTTCACATAGAAATCTGATAACAGCCACATCTTTAAATCATGTGAACAGCTAAACAAACAAGAAACAATAAATCTGTAGATGAGCACTCAGGCGTGCAGTGTTCACATCACGACGAGTCCACATCCCAAACTGTTGATCTGTGTGAGCTAATGTGACCTCTGTCTGTGTTATGTAACACACACTCACACGCACACACACACACATGCACGCACGCACGCACGCACGCACGCACGCACGCACGCACACACACACACACACACACACACACACACACACACACACACACACACACAAAACCTCTGAGTGCCAGTTAAACGAACAGACTGCTGTTTTCCTGCAGCTTTCTGACCTACAATAATCTGTCGGCTAAATTAAAGACAATAAATCAGGAACTATTTTGATTTCCTGTCACATGGAAACTGAATTGAAGACGTCTGAATGTGTCAAACTGAGATTAACATTTTTTTTTTTTTTTTACATTTAATAGATAATAATTAAATAAAACAATGTGGTTTCCAATAATCAAACTCATCTCTAGTTTGATTTCCTTCTTTTTGGCTTTTGTTCATTTCTACAAATTTTCCTGCAGAGGAACTTTTTGAAAACTCTCTGAAGCTGTGTTCAAGGACCCTCGTCCGATGTAGGATATCTGAGAGTCAACAGCTGCTAGCTAGAATGCAACGCCTGAGTGTCACATTTAATTTCATTGTGTTCCTCTGCAGTGACAATAAAGACTTTCTTCGTCTTTTTCATTATTAATTTTAGGTTTTTTGTGTCAGGCAAAATTTTAGATGTTCACAATAGATATCACAACACAAATACAACACACATTTAGACATCGCAGTCTCAATAAACACATTAGTCTCCTAATAGTTTTTGTGTTGACTAATTTGACCAAATTGACAAAACTAGAGAGGTTTCCTGAATATTTTTATTTTACTTTGGTTATAAGTACACAAAAGTTTCAAAATCTGCTTTTTTATTTCTATTTCTGTAACTAAAATGTTTTTTTTACACACATTATAACCTCAGTTCTGACATGTTGTCTTTATTTTACTGTCTTGTACTTTTTATTGTCTGTTCTCATGAAATGTTTCATCTTTATTTGACTGTAAAGTGTCCTGTAACTCTGTAACTGACTTTATTATTGAATTATATTTTAACCTGGCAGATTCATAAAGTGTCTCATATAAAATGTGTCATGTCAAAGTGTCTGAGAGGTTTAAGATCGGTTGAACATTTTATATATTTTTAACAGTGAGGATAGTTTCATTTTATTTAAGTGACCTGAACTGCAACATAATGTTGCTGCAGCTCAGAGGCTGTTCCAGGAAATACACAGAGCCCACCTGCACTTTAACATTAAGTCCAAAATCAATTTAACTACTGAAATCACAGCCCAGATTCAAAAAAGATAAAAGGATGATCCTATAATAAATCAAGCCTCTGACACATAGATGTTCATAACAAATGCATAACTAAACAGTCTTTGGGCAGGCCTGAGCCTGCTCAGGCTGTGACATGTATGCAGACAAACAATTCAACATGTATGAACATTGGAACAGAAACTGGAATTTCTCAACTGTGGGATCAATAAAGGTGTATCTTATCTTATCTTATCTTATCTTATCTTATCTTATCAAAGCTGTCACTGATCTGTGACTAAACTATAAATATTTAGTTCATTTGGTTCATATGAAACCTTTCCTGCAAAGAAATTCAGATTTTTATTTTAGCTAATATTACATTTGCGAGTGCTTTGCAGGAGATGCACAGACCTGTGAAATAAAGTCTGTGTTTCAAACAGTGTGATGCATCAGAGTTTAAAGCTGCTGAGACTTTCTGTTAAGTTTGTACAGTCTTGGACTGCAGCTTCAGTTTTCCCTCCTGAGCTGCAGCGAGACTCTGCAGAGCTTTTCAGAGTGCACAGTAGGAAACAGAACAAAGGTCACCAACACAGCGTGAGAGCTGCAGCCCTGCTCCAACCAGACTCCCTGAGAAAAACATGTGATTGGAGCAGCTGAGACAGACAGAAGCTCCAGAGCAGTGGAGGAGTGACAGGTGTGATGGAGGGATGGTGACAGTGATAACAGAGAAGTGAACTCACCCATGTTTGAGCGCCTGGTCTGATCAGATCCTGCAGGTCCTGCTGTAAGCTGGTCTGGACTCACTCAGACCAGGTCCACTGTGAACAAAACTGGGAGGGTGGAGTTTAACTGCTTTCATATCAGGGCACAGCCAATCAGAGGAGGGGGCGGGGCTTAAACACTGACCAAAAACAATCAACATATTAACCCTCCAAAGCCCAGAGAGGTTTACTCAAATATAAAATAATATAATTACACAAATTCTTCATGAGAATCTGACTGAACTTTAATTTTCCTTCTTTCATAGCACACAGCCCAGTGTGTGTGTGTGTGTGTGTGCGTGTGTTCACTAAGGTAGGCATCATGAGTTCAGTCCATTTAACATTTTATCACCTGTGTCTGAAGTGAATAAGAAGGTGATTTTTCTTTTCTGTTTAACTTCATTCAGCATTTTTATCTGTATTATTTATTTATTGTATTGTTTTTGGCCTTTCCCTTTTATTATTTTCCCATTTAATTTAACACTATGAATGTTTTTAAAATGTGTAAAAATTAACATAGTCTTCAATTATTTTTGCCTTTTCTCCTTTTCTTTTCTTATTTAATTAAACTTCATTCTTTTATATTTTTTTATTTCACTATTTTACTGTAATTTTTTCTGCCTTTCCCCCTTTTTCTGTTTTCATTTGATTTAACTTCACACAATTTTGAAAAAATACTCAATATTTATCCTGCCTTGTCATTTTTTCCTTGTCTTATTCAATGTAACTTTTAATTTAAATAAGTAATTTTAGTTATTTACCGTTTTTTTTGCTGCCTTGTCCATTTTTTCTTTCTTAATTGATTTTAATTCATTCAATTTTTGAAATGTATTTAATTGTTCTTCGTTTATCTTTGCCTCGTCCCCTTTTTCTTTTCTTATGTAGCTTTATTCATTTTTAAATGTGCTTTTTTTCTGCAGTTCCCTTTTTCTCTTTTTTTACTTAATTCAACTTTTTTTGTTCAATGTGCTTTTTTTTTTATTTTTTCCTGCCTTTTCCCTTTTTTAATTTTCTCATTTAACTTTCCTTAATTTCAAATTTAGTTTTCTAGAAATTGCCTTTTTAATGTTATTCATTGTTTCTCCTTTTTTCCTGGTTTTGTTTCATATGTAAATATATTTTTATGACCATTATTTTTGACACAGATGTGTGTGTTACCGGTAAATCACCTGTGCGTGTTCATTATTGTTCAACCCTGAGGTGTGTTACATGCTGCTTTCCTTTTATAATGATAATAAAAACAACAATAATAATAATAATAACAATAATAATAATGTTAAAAGCTTTTTAACTTTGTGCTCTGAAAACTCTTTATCGAGTCATAATTTTTACACTACACAAATCATTTAAAATGAAGTTATCTTTTAAATGCAGAACATTTTGTTTGTTTATTGTTTGTTTGTTGTTGGACTGAATCTGTGTTTGTTTTGTTTATGATTCTATGAGGACGAGCTCCGCTTTCTAACGAGCCTGGTTATTAGCACCCACCGCAGGCTGTGAGGGATGTGATGTTCTCCCAGCTGAGCCCGAAATCGTGCAAACAGGACCTAAGAACCAAACTGCTGACAAGATGAAAATAAGTTAAGTGGCCCCTGAGCGCCGCCTGCCAGGGGGTCAAACAGCCTCACTGCACGCCAAACGTCACCTTGGTGTGTAAATCTGAACCTGATGGAGGCCTTGCACCAAACACAGAGTGATGTCCCACGCCTGAGATTTGAGGGCACAATGGTGGAGATAGGAGACACGCAGCAGTGAGGTATTGTCCCTCTACAAGGCCCCTGTAGAGATCGTTGCTCCTGGTCCCACCTGAGGAACACGACCCAGGACAGTGTCACAATGACATCAGCTGAAATGACTCACAAGAGTGAGACGGAAAAATGTTCCCAGGTGAACGAACCTGGACTCGAAGGACCTGAAGGCAAGGGAGGACTGGCCATCTGGAGGTTCTGGAGAATCACAGAACGGCCGGTACTCCAGGACGGCCGGCGGCCGCCACGCAGTCATCACCGTTTTTTTTTTTCTTTTTTTTTCCCTTTTTCTCCTTGATAATCTACTGTTCCACGTCCAGTCCGCTAGGTGGCAGCCTTTAAATTGGATGCCAGCTGGCCCATAGATATCTATGAGCCGGCCAGCCGCCCAATCAAATTGAAAAAGAAGGAAGCGCATACCGTATGCACACCGGTTGTTGTGGGCTGGGCCGAGTCAAAGTCCAGGGCTGTTTTTTAGTCCCAGTCCACCCCTGCCTGAAGGCAAATGTAAAGATCTTTGATTTTAAGTCCCGAACTCATCAACCCCCTGCCCTCACTGACATACAAGCAGAGATCTCCTGCAGGCCGTCAGAGGGCTGTGTAGCAGGACACAGAACCGAGCAGCATAAATTAAGACAACACAGAAGTGCCAAAAACTGCAGTTCCTTGAATGGCCACTTGAGGCCGGCTCCAGAAATGAGTCAATCCCTACAGACCCCGATGTTTAAATGTCCGTCTTTACAGCAGAAGTATCAAACTGTTTTCATCCCAAACTCGTCAAATACCACCGTTTGGTCAGTGATTTTGGGATCAGACACCTGATGCTAAAAGCCAACTTTTGCAGTGGTATGATAAACTGCCGGGCAGCATCAGTTTGTGACGTGACCAGACGGCACATGGCGCAGCAGTACGCATTGCAGATATGCGGACGGACAGCGTCAGTTAATAACATGGCTGGACGGTATGATACATGGTAACGATGTAATAGAAGGAGCCAACACATTCTCACTCTGACCTTGTCACATATCGACGTTTGGTCATGGACTTTCCACGTCAACATATGATGTGCAAGGTACCCTGGGTGCGTTGGTTGTTGACGTTCTGGGACACCGTGTCCAGTTCTGCCTGTTACATGCATTGTCTTCTTTCAAAATACATTTCTGTTTTCACAGGAAATGTTCAGTTTACATACAGTCTCTTTCAAAATAAAAGCACTACAACGGTACAACACTGCAAATTGACGTTTTTTTTCCCTTCAACAACAAACACACATGGTTGGGTTTAGGAAAAAAGAACAGGGTTTGGCTTTACAATCTTACGGGACGCAAACACAAAACTGAAGCTCAGTGTTTGCTGAACCTGCCCCACTCCTCCCGCCTGTCCCAATCGGACTTTCGCTACTTTAACTTTTGTCCTTGTCATGCTGCATTTCCCCTTGATGCCGCCGGACGGCGTTAAACTATAAAGGCAACCGGCCACGTATCATGCCGACATTACAGGATGCCTTTTTTCGTTGGTTTCTGATGCTGAAAGTCAATGCCCAAGCGCCGGATTTCGAAGACTTCAGAGTGAGACCACACTCAGGGAGCTGGAAAGACCCTATAGGGCAGGCGGTAGGAGGGGTCGTGGATGGGTCCAACAAACTCCCAACTTTCACCCAGTGTTCGCTTCCCGTATGAATGTAGAGCTGAACCATTATGTTTTTTCTAAACCAGACCACGTGCTTGGCCTGCACAAAGAAATAAATGTAAATATGCAGTGTAAATATAAGTTTATTTGGAAAAAGATTGTGTGTCTGAGGAGCTGTTAAGTGTACACTTCCTGTGAAAACAGAAAAACAAACTGACACACCGTCCTGAAACATCAAGAAAGACACAGGAGGATACCCAATGCGAAATCTGTAGACGTGACCGGCACTGGCTAAGTGGTGATATTTAATGAGTTAGGATGAAAACACATTGGAAATAAACCTTTTTACAGCCTGGTACAAAAAAAGTTCTGGTTTCTACAAGTAATTTAAACATTAGTGACAACTTTATGAGGGCTCACCTGTTTAACTGTCGCTCCTTCACAGCTCCACCCTCTTGTCCAAATATGGTCACTTATGGCTCCAAAAGATGATGACATCCAAAATGCCAAACTCAAGGCTTCAAAACCTGAGTCCACAAACCAATGTGAGATGTCAGGGCAGCTACGTTTGCTGTTTTATACAATCTATGCACAACACCCATCAATCTCACCAGATCTTAAGAAGCCTGCAAGACACTCTCTGGAGATCCCAATGGAGAACCAGCGACAGGTTGAAGTCTGTGAACCATCCTTAAAACTGCATCAGAAGTGTTTTTTTCTTCTTCTTTTAAAGCTGTGAAGCAGTCAAAGCTCAGAGCCGTCTGGAAACATCACTGAGAACACTTTTGCCTGGTTCGCCTGGGAGCCAGATGAGTCTGCGAGCTTGTGTTTTATTTGCTCTGGCAGATGCGCCTGGCCTCCCTCCGTTTTGGACAGATCACCAGAAACCCAAGGTGGGCCGTATAAATCACAACTGTTTAACGAAGCTGAAACTGTGAAAGACGCTTTTAATCTTTGTGTAAAGAAAAGGAACAAACTCACTGAAAACATGTCGATATACAAACCAAGTATCTATTTAGTTTTGTACTTATGGTACTGTGAACAAGCACTGGGGTTTGTTGCATCAGCAGGATCAGTGTTTGTGTCGTGTGGTCGTCTGTCTGTATGAGATAAATGGATTTTGTATAATTTCTAAAATATCTAATGTAATAAAACTGAAATCTGAAGAAAAGAATCCAAATCTGAAGATGTTTTATATTTTATTAACGATTAAAAGAAAAGTCTGCAACACTTTCTGTGAAGGTCACGTCTCTAATGCAGTACACGCACATTCAGAGGACATTATAATAAACACATAAGGCTTCATAAAACTATTTATAAATATTTATAAACATGCATGAAAACTTTTTATTATCAGCAGTGGACATAAAGTGTTAAAAGTATAATGTGCTATACCTCCATTTCAAAATTACGACACTTTATAAACCTTGTTCTAAGTTTTTATGCATGATTATAAACACTTATAAAGACTTTTATAAAGACTTGTGTATGCATTATGTCTTAAGAATGTGCTTATGATGCATTACAGACATGACCTTCATCAACAGTGTCAATGAGAAGTCTTCTGTACATCAGCACCAAGACAACAACATCTGTTCTGTAGGAGTCATGATGGAATTACGTCAAACATCTTCTAATCAAACACGATCTGCAGGAAAATATTCATAAAAATATCTCCAACATTCACCGTCTGTTCAGGTCCAGGTTCTGATCACATGATGCAGTACAAACATTAACCCCACAT